GGGGTTGGTTATTTAGATGTTGATGGTATTAAAAAGGAGGGTGTTTGTTGTAAATTGTGGAAAGATAGAGGTAGAATGTGAGAGATTGGGTTAATAATATTTAGTTAAGAGTTTATTGAATTTGGAGGTGGGGTTGTAGTGATGGTGTGAGGGGTTGGTGGGTAGAGTTGGGTAGGGTTTAGGATTGGGGGGGGTGGTTGTTGAAGGGTGGGGAAATATGGGGGGTTTTGATTGAGGGTGTTTTTGGTATTTTGGGTGGGATTGGGATTGTGGGTGGTTATGGGGGGTGGGGTTATTTAGGTTGTGAGGGGTTGGGAAAATGGGTGGATTGAGAGGTGTTGTAGGTTTGTGTGGGTGTTTTTGTGGGGGTGTGGTGAGGTATTGTGATTTTAGGTATGTGGGTGGTTGTTTGGAGGGTTGTTAGGGTGATGGGGGAGAGGGGAGATAGGTGTGTTGGATGGTGATGGGGTTTTAGTTGATGGGGGGGGGGAAATTGGATTTGAGGGGGGGAGGTTATGGATGTTGGGGAGATTTGGATGGGTATGGGGGGGGGAATTTGGGGTTTTTGGGGAGTAGGGGGATGGGGTTTATTTATGTGGGATGGATGTAAAGGGGTGGTGAAGGGGAGGGATGTGGGGGTATGTGTTTTATAAATGATATATGTAGTTGTGGGAGTTTTGTAGGGTATAATAGGGGATGAAATTTGATATTGTAGGGGGTGTTATGGGGTGAAGGGGGTAGTATAGTAGGAGTAGATTGTTTTGAGGGGGTTTTTAAGGGGGAGGGTGGGGGGAGGTGGTGGTGAGGGGGTGTGGGTTAGGGTGGTTATGTATTGGGGTGATATGGTATGGGGGGGTGAGTGGGTGATTGTAATGTGAGGGGGATTTGTATATTAGGTGTTGTGTAAGTGTTGGGTGTTTGAGGGTGGTGTGGGGAGGTTTTGATATGGTTGGTATATAGAATGGTTTTATGTTGTGTTTGGATGGTGGTGGTAAGAGTGGTTTTTATAGGATAGGTTGGGGGAGGTAGGTTGTTTTTTAATATGTAGGTGTATAGGGGGGTATTTAATAAAATATATATATATATTATAGTTGGAGTGATTAATATATTGGTTTATAGGTTTTTTGGTTTTGGAGGTTGAGGATGGTTTTAGATGGGGTTTGTAAGGGAATATAGTTTGGGAAATTGTTGTGTGAGGGGGTAGAGGATGGTGGAAGGAATTTATATGTGTATGAAGTATATATGGGGGGGGTTGGTTTTTTTAGGTGTTGTTTGGGGGTATGATTTGTTTTGGGGGGGGGGGGGGGGGGGGGTTGGAGTTGTGGTGGGTTGGGTTAGAGAAGTAGGTGGTTGGTAGGGGAGGTAAGAGATGTTGGGTGGTGGGGGGTGGTGATTGGGGGTGTGAGGTGATGAGGGAGAAGTTGAGGTTTGTGAAGGTTTATTGGAGAGGGATAGGGTGTGAATGAGGAGATTTTTGGAGGGGGATGGTTTTGAGGGGGTGGGGGGATATGGTAAGAGAAGTGTGATGTGATTGTTGGAGGTGTTTGGGAGTGGAGTAGATGGGTTTGTGGGTGGGTGGGAAGTAGGTGAGAGGGGTAAGTTTGGGTAGGTTGGGGTGAATTGAGAGGAGGAAGGTGTGGGGGGTTAATTGGGGATTTGGTGGGGAGTTGGTGTAAGGTGGGGAGAAGTGGAGGTTTGGTGTTTGGTGGATTGGGGTTGTGAGGGGAATGGTAGGGTTATGAGGTAGTGGGGATTGTATGGGGATTGAGGGAGAAGGATGAGGGTATGGGGGGGGAGATGGGGGTGGGGGGTATTTGATTGTGGTGGTGGATGGGG